AAAGAACAAAAGTCAGAACCTAACCAAATGTCCCACAGTAGGATAGTGGTTAAATATATTACATGGATATAAGACAGAATGTTACATTTAATGGACAACATTTATATTATGAGTGATGGAAATTACTCTGGAATTTATTTTGAGTCTAGTAGGACACGTAACTTAATAACTAAGGAGTGATCTTTGTAATTTAACACATAATTTTGATTGTTAGGCAATCTATTCAAAAGCAAATTTGATTATGTCTCATGCACTCTCCCCACCTAACTCCTGCTTAAACGTCTTAGTGTTCATCAGCATAACAAAGACAGCTGCAAGTTCTGGCTGCATCCTGTGCCTCTAGCATCCAATTGCACCACACTTGCATTCACCCAGCATCAGCCTCATTGGACTTTTCTTGGGCCCTGTTTATGTACTGTGCTCTTCTCTCACTCTGTATACTCCTTCGCTCCTCCTTTCCTCCTTCTTTGCCTGCTTAGCTTCCCACTTATCTCTAAGCCTTCACCAGAACTGTCCCTGCTCTATCAGAGACATCCCCAACCAGTGTCTCCTCATGACAATAAACCAGTATAGTGTAACAGCTAAGCAAAGTATGCCTCCCCTGACGGAGTCTATTGGAACCAGGGCCTGATGTGTTCTAAGCAAACATTCTACCCCTGAACTACATCCTCAGCCCCTAAGGGCTCAATTCATAGAAACTTAACAAATAACAGAAATTGGATAAGATGATATATCAGTGTAGGTTTACTTGCTGTATTAATGTACTACTCTAGTGAGAGATGTTGGTAATTGGAAAGGTCGAATTTGTGGACAGGGAGTGTGGGTCAGTCCTTTATCTTTTCTATGAGTTTAAAATTATTTTTTAAAAATCCTTTAAGGAAAAATAGGATGAGAAAACAAAATATTGAGATGTATTTTTCCAATGACATTTATATAACTGAATAAAGACTGGGGATTAGCGAAAGTTTACAACATCTAATAATCATTAACTGTGTATGGCAGAAATCATGATTTTAGATCCTATTATTAAATGTAAGGGAAATGGATTATGCACGACATGAATATCTTAGAATTACCCTCGAAAAGTGAAATATACTGTACTCTGTTCACAGGAAAATAATTATTATTCAAAAGAACTGACTTGGAAAAAATTAAGTATTATACTAATTAACTTTATGGACTTAAATATCAAATCTACACTGCTAAATTTGTTACGTGATTCAGATATCATACTTTGTGCCTAACAATAATAAAAGTATATAACATTTCAGTTTTAAATAAGAATAATCTTCAGTAGAAAATCATAAAATAAATATGAAAGGAAAAAAATACGTTTAAAAGTAACAAAGTAGGCAACCTTAAAGGCTTAGGAAACAGAACAGCTAAATTAGTTGGAGTTCATGAAACCAAACTAAGGATTATTTTGCTTATTTATTAAACAACAATATAGAAAGTCACTGGTTAAATAACTTGTCCCATTATATGCAGTTTACAGATAAAAAAAGAAAAAGAAAAATCAAGTCTTCTAGCATTAAACCCATATTTTGCTTGGGGAATATCTTAGATGTACACCATTAATTGGAAAACAATATAAAGTATTTGAAAACCAGTATGGAATTTTGAATAAATAAATTTCTATAATTTAAGAACCTATAGCCTCTTTTTTAATATATTACAGGGAATTAATCTAGTGGTAATAAAAAATGTTCATGAAGATATCCATGACAACACTTTAATTAAAAGAGCAAAAGTTGTAAGCTATCCGAATGTCCCACAATAGGATAATGATTAAATGTGTTACATAGGGATATGATAGAATGTTGTTTTTAATGGGAAAATACTTGTGTGCAACTGCAACGTTAGACAATGAAAGTAAGAACATACATTATAGGTACAATATCATAAATACATTAAGTGTACATAAAAATGTAGAGAGGGACACAAAAAGGAAAACAATTATATGAATGTAATGAAATAGATAGTATATACTTCAAATTTTAACTATTTATACCTCCTTAGTGGTTTTGACTTCATTACAAGTGATTAGATACAAGACTCAAAGTTTATGAGTGTATGAAATCTATTTCTGGGGAAATAACCAATCAAAGACAGTTTCAACTTTAATACTTCACCTCAATTGCAGTTAACAAACTGAAGAAGCACTACATTCACTCCAACTCTTCCCACGTAAAAAGATAAATGATTATAATTTCATTGTAAATTATCAATTCTCTCATTCTTTTTTGAAGTTTCAATGTTATATGTACCACCAAGAGAAAGAATGAATGGATTTTCAAAAATAGAAAATCTCAACCTCTGGGATTCAGGTAGTAAAGATAGAATATTTTTTTCTCATAATTTGTTACTTAAAAAATATTTTGTATTTGGGGGGATGTTTAATTTTGTGGTGGTTAATCAGAAATTTAAACATGCAATATTTAAGAGTCCATAATTTATATTATAATCTATCTGTATCAGAACTATAATTTGTTTAATTTCATAGCAGCTCCCTCAATATTATTTATGATATTCTAACTAGTTAAGGAATAGTAAGGCAGAGAACAGAAAATCAAATGTAACCCTGGAAAGGAAAGATACACATTTATTTATCCAACTTGGCCAATTTCTTAACGAGAAAATAACTTAGCTTTTTTTCCCCATTAAATCTATTCTCAGACATCAAATAGGATAAGCTAGTTCTTGGAATTGAGAATAATGAGGCTAGTGGAATATAAAAGTTTGTATTAGAGGCTTCCAGCTTTTATAAAACATCTTTCTGAAGTTCAGTTAATCAGCCACGTGCTTGTTCAATTCAGTGAAGAAGGTGGAAAAATATGATTTAATCATTTTATTAGCCTTATTTTATACATATATTAGATACCTATATAGATTTTTCTAGCAGGATTCAGTTGTGAAGAGTTCAATTACTCCATTGAGCTTTAGCAAGAAGTGTTTAATGATGGGTATTAAAGGGTTTACAAAATTATCGAGAGTTAAATTAACTCAAATGCCAGGTGACTGTTCAAGAATGATTCTCAAATCCAATCTTTAAGACTAACCACAAATACAAAGCTGACTTCCACAAAAAGAAAACCATCAGCTGCAGAAGTGCATGCTGCTGATGTGGCTAAAAAGTCACCATGATTTGTGTGGTATGGAACAGGTGAAGCCATCTTCGTCTTGGGGTCTCCCTACTGTGCTCAGTTCCAGAATGCCACCAGGCCTATGATAATCGCCTTACCTGTGCCTTGTTGACTGATTCCCATCAAGGCAGTGAAACAGTTATTAATGCTGCTGCAAGGGAAACAAGGAAAAAATGCTCCATTATTGTGCTTGCTAGCAAAAAGGCAGAGATGGCAAGGTCTGCCCTTCATCTCACTTCTACTTTCAAGTTTCATGCACCCGCCTCCAAATAACTGAACCTAAAACTTACACTGAATCCTAACCACGTGGAAGTCCGTGAAATATGAATTCTAGTGTTCTTTCTTCTTTAGTATAGAAAGGAAAGCTATAAAAAGGGTAAAACAGATGTTGGTAACTACTGTGCTCCATGTCTTGGCTATTCAACCTCCACACATACCCTTGGCACATTCAACAACTCACCAAAACATCAATTAGTAACAAGAGTGTTTGATGCTAACATAATACAAATACCTGTTTTACAAATTAAAGTGCAATTATCTAAATTTCAGGAGGGAAAAACCAAAGAAAGTCATTACATCTGTTAATCTGTCCACCTAAGAGGAAGAGGTGATTCCTCTAAAGAAATCAATTAGAAAGTTACCAACCAGTAACACACTCTGTATACAGTGCCAGAAGAAAGGAAGAGGCTAAAATCATTTCACATTTATCAAAGCCATTTAAGCAAAATACTACCAGGAAACCATATGGCTAACTATTATCACTTTCACTTCATAAAGCTGGAGTCACAGCTTGTAATTTCCTTCCTCTTCTCCCTACTCTGTGTTTCTTTTGTGTCTAGTGAGCAGGGAGGCTGACTGCAGCCCTTAAAATATTTGGTTATCCACATGCGTATTCCGAAGATCAGAGCCACAATGACTTGCTGCTTTCTGTGATCACAACTAGAAGTGGCAACCCTAAATATGCTCTAGAATATCTTGAGATTCCTAATCCTCATTGCCCACACTGTATACTGGCAGCCTTCACTGAAACAGAATCTGGAAAATGTTGTATTTGGCTCTCTAGATTCCATAGTAGACAAAGCACTTAAAAGACAAGGAAGTGGTTGTAGTGATCACCTACTTTCACTGTAGTACCTTAGGAGTGGGTACGGAACCCACTCTTCATGGACTGATACAGCATTAAGTTCTTATGTGGAGCAAAGTTAAGCCCTAGCTTCACAACTTTACTGAGTTTAACAAAGGGATCAAGTCTGATACGAGACCAGCCATCTTATAACCAAAAAAGATGATCTCAGTGCATAACTGAGCTTTACCAAAAAGCTGTTTCTGTCTGCCTGTCTCTTGTACACTAACTGTTATTTCTCTGCATTAAACAACTCCAATTCATCATGGTGCTGTTACCTCCTCTCCATTCAACCAGTACAGCTTGTGTGATTCATCTTTTTGTGAAGCCTAAGAGGACATATTATTAATGCTTCCTTCTCAGATAATTTATTCAAATTTTCATGGATTTGAATAAATGGTAAATGGTTTGATTAACCTACAAGAGAAAAAAACGCTTCTTCTAGTCTTTGAATTATTCTTTCTTAATATCAGAATGCGTTTTCAGCCTTCTCCTGTGACCAGGTTTTGCTATCTTGCTAACTACACAGTGGTGCTACAGTTCACTCAGGTGCAAAGCTAGAGGTGACTGCACAGCACCTTTGGCCTCATTAGTTAGGCCTGATTTCAGGGTCACAGGAAGGTGATTTCTTCCTGGTGGGGCCTCCGGCAACATCTGAAAAAGACAACATTCAAGCAGTTATAGTTTCAGGGGAAACCTTAAAATTAATTTGTCTTGTGATAATGTGCTGACAGGTTGGTTACTGGAAAGACATGGAACAAGAAGATGCAGCAGAAACAGTCAAAACCAGGGGAAACGAGTCATTCGTCATCCTGACAGGATTAGAAGGAAATACGCTGTATCACTTCACAGTGAGGGCTTACAACGGAGCCGGATATGGGCCACCTAGCAGTGAAGTGAGTGCAACCACCAAGAAATCCCGTAAGTGACCTGGGCTTCTTGTTTGTTTTAGACAAAAGAGCAGCATCTTTTCACGTTTCTTAAAGCTGTGTGAGATACATAATATGCAGTCAAAGGGGAGTTTTGATTCATAGTCTTGCTTCAGTGCTTAGATCTGAATTCCAAAACTAGCTCAGAACAATTTTGCATTCGCAGTAGATAAAGGTTATCTTCCTGTGAAACAAGGCTAAGCGATTTTGACACAGAAGGGAGATAAAAGGATTCAAGTTCAAAAGCTCAGTAGAGTAGCTATTAAAATGACACTCCTGGAGCAAAACCCTCCTTATCTGACTCCCACTGGAAGGAAGCCCATGGTGTCAGCCAACTACTAAACACATGAAAAAATTGAAATGCTGGGAGAGATTTACAGGAAGAGCTCTATTGGAGAATCCCTGTCAGTTCACTTCCACTTTTTACTTTGCAGCGCCTAGTCAAGCACCTAGCAACCTCAGGTGGGAGCAGCAAGGGCCTCAGGTTGCTCTAGGCTGGGAGCCGGTCAGACCTTTAGCCAACGAATCCGAAGTCCTGGGCTACAAGGTTAGTGTTTCTTCATCTCGGACTTACACACTCCAAAAATTGTTAGTAAGAGGATGAGCCATGTATGAGGTAGAGAAAGGCCCAGTGACAAGCTTTCTGGTTTCTATAAGTCATTTTCAACCTGTCTTACAAGCAAGTTTTCCTAAAGGTAGGGAAGCCACACTGCTTTTGAATTGCACAAGGCACATGAAGTAAAGGGGTAGGAATAGGAAAAGCAACAATGATCTGAATGCGGTATAAAGATAATTCAGTATGAAGATAGCTCCACGATGCATGGTGCCAGGCAGAAGATCCTGACACAGCTTCCCAGTAGACAAACTTTGCTGGCAGATGGCGGGGACTGAACATTTTAGATTTCACATAAAGACTCTTAAAGAAGAAACAGAGGGAGGGAAAATTTCTGGAGTCAGGACACATATTAAGGAAGAATCCACGGAAAGAGAGCAAGCTGTAAATCAGATGCATCTCATACTTACACTCATCCTACCATATACCAACAAGAGATCTGAAACTATGAAACATCTACATATTTTGTTTTCAAAAAAAGTTTTGTCTCTAATATTAAAATACATGTGCATATATTATTGGCTCAATTTCAAATTCTTGCTCCATAATATCAACTTTCACTTATAGCCTTCAACTCTGCACAAAATTATTAGTTCAATATTAATTATAGTAGGTTTGAAAATATTTTAATGACAATATTTAGGTTGTAACACATCTTTATATATAGGTTTTCTGCTACCTGAGATGGCAACACATTATTTTGTATATAAAGTGTTCACATTCTAAAGCTAAAACTTGAAACAGCTATAAATGAAACATATTTTTATAGAAAGTGGTTCCCATTTTTTTAACATATGAATTGTAGCATTTCTTACTGTAATTAGATGGATCATAGACATTCTCATGCTGAAGCTCATAGATACCCAAATCTGTCCCTAATCCTCAGGAATATTGAATATGATCTTTTAGGGAAAAGTAGGTGAGTCATTTTCTGGACCTTTCTCTGAGCCCTGTCCTTTTATATCCTTTCCTGGAAGATTATGTTCACCGCAAGTTCCTCTCTAAAGCAAATATACTCTTTAATTTTTAGAGATAAAAGTATTGCCAGATATATTGACAGAACAAGTCTAATGTTATGAGAACCATGGCAACCTATATCCCAAACTAGCAAGGCAAAGTAAAATACAGAAAGAATAAAACAAAAGCATAGCATGCTTATGTGCAAACAGAGAAACTAAAAACAAGTGACACCTGACTAGAAGAATCCACAATGTTGGGTATGGGTCTCCAGGCTGGACACATCTATTTGCTCAAAGATGATTCTCCATCTCTTGTTTCTGCTCTTATATTTCACATGTGACTCAGTCTCCTTAACTCTATTATTTGCCTCTTCATCTTCAATGCTGTTAAAATGGCTAAGTAAATTAATTTTGACCTGATTAGGAATCCCATGCAATTGTTCATTGTTCCTCTATTATATATATATATATATATATATATATATATATATATATATATTATTTATGTTTTCCAGCATGAATTTTCCATTTATTGTGATGTATTTTTAAAAAAAATCACTGGCCTAAATCCTGAAAAATTCAGTTCAAATTGAAATTATATAACTTTGAGTCAGTTATTTAACCTATCTGAGTTTCATCTCCTTAATTCCCAAAATGCTAAAAGAGTAGTAATAATGCCTATCATACAGGATTATTTTAAAAATTTGATTCTTTGTTTGAAATGCTTGACATTTACAAAGTGTTAATTTAAAAATACTATTTGTTTTCTAATTGTTACTTGAGAAGAGTGACTGGCTAAGTAAAAGTTTTAAAGTAAAAGAAACTGATAATTAAAATTTGCCCACCAGTTTTATCTTAATGAAGACAACACAAGTTACCTTGGAACATCTTCTTGCTACAGGAAGAATCAGTCATAGTCTGGCTCAGTCATATAAGCTAAGTTATAATTCTGGCACATATTGCCAGAAGTTTTCCTTTTCGTTTCCCTAAAAAGGTTGTAATTTCTCACATCCCTGAGACAAAAGACTGCTTCCTATGAAAAGCGTCTGCCAATTACAAGCGGAGAACTCCAGACTTTGTATTTTGTAACCAAATTAAAATCTCTCATATATGGGACAGTCCCAAGTGACAGGATCACTGACATGAAGGGCCCTGAAGAAAAGGTGACATCCCTGGTCACTGGACTTGACACAGTACCTGGATTCTCCTGGGAAACTGTAGTTTATACAGGGCAGTTGGTAAGAATGAAAGACCTTCCTGATAACTGGATCATGGGAAAGAAATGTAATACAAATATTTGCTGAACTAAAAAAGTTAAAGAGGTGTAAACCTGGGGAACAGATTTGGAACCCCTTCTTCTGAGCTTGACTTTGAAAACACCTGCAGCCTAGGCAAGGGTCTCCACACAGCTGTTACAGGATTGTTCATCTGGAGGGAGGTACTGAAATACAGGATGGCCAGGCTGAATACAGTAATCAAGAGCAGCAAGCATCCCATTTGATTGCTGTGGTGGTCACAGAGGTCTAACAGAAGTAGGGACACAGCACAATAATCATTTTTCTTTCCATAAGGCAGTTTGTGATAGGACCGATCTACTAAGACAAACTAGCTCTGAATTCCTAGAAAGTTTGAGGTAGAAGAGTTGTTGATAATCAGGGAAAAGACATTCCACAGTTCACTGAAATATCAAAATAGAATATCATATACCAAGCTTGATGTCTCAAGCCTGTAATCCCAGCACTGAGGAGGATCAGACAGGAAGATTACAAATTGGAAACCAGACTGGGCTACATGCTGGAACCTTGTGAGTTCAAAACCAGTCTGGACTACAGGATAAGACCCTGTCATTAAAAAAGAAAAAGATAATTTTTACTTTGCCAAACAAATCTCTAGAAATGTCATTACATGTAGGTAATGAGAACTTGGAGTCAATGTCTGAAGTTTAACATTCAGGAATTAGGAATTACACCTTTTTCATTAGATTCAGTTTCAGATTAGTAAATCAAAAGATTCTTTACCTTTAAGTTTTCCAGATTTTAAAAATAAATGAGAAGTGGAAAAATAAACGTAGGCCATATATTTGAACCTGTGTAATCCATTAAACCTTTCTTTTTATTAAAATACTATATATCAGATAAAATTCATTCTCACAGTGTAAACTACAGAGTTAGCATAAAGTAAGAATTTGACATTAATGCATTTTTAAGAAAACATACTTCTTAGTTCATTTGTGCTGTGTAGCAGAATACCTAAGACTGTGTGATTTATAGATGAAAATTAATTTATTCTGCCACAGATCTAGGAGTTGAGAAGCCCAAGAGCAGTGCTCCAGCACGTTTCTCCCCCATGCCCACAAGAGGGAACTCTGTGTCCTTGCACGACAGAAGGTAGAAGGGCAAACAGGCAGAGGATGCGTGAAGACTTGATCAGGGCCTTGTCCTCTTCCCCAGGACAGTGATCCTCAATACCTAATTTCCCTTTTAAAGGACTGACCACTTCGTATCACACTGGCACTGAATTTTGGAGGCATCACTTTCAACCATGAAACAAGTATCTTTTAACTTGATTTCAGAGATTGAGGGGTGAGCAACATGGATAACTGTAAGATATTACCAGAGAAAGAGACCATAAAAGAAAGATATTAGGAGAAAAAAATATAGTCTCCCCAAAACAAAGTCTTAGCAGGACCCTCAAAAGTAAACAAGAATTCTGTTACAGAAGGCAGGAGTTGAGCTATCTGTGTCTATGTCACAGGTAACACATTAAACTGAGTCCATTTGTAAACACAAAGCATTATGTAGTGATGAAATTTCTCAACAATTCATTCTGGAAATTGTTCAAGAAATTCTGGACTTCTTGGAATTTTGCATAAGAAGTCCAAATTTAATAACAATCATTTCAAAGTAACAGTTTTCATTATTAAGCAAAAGGAACAGAAGCATAAAAATGAGAAAAATGTTGGGAAATAATTTTCTCTTGAAAGTACTATAATGATTAATACTACAAATCACTATCACTCAAAACAACTTTCCTCTTGATAAGCTGAATCAAATTTGATGATTTGTTTGATATATTACTATTTCTAGTCAATTAACAAGTGACACCTTGTTTTATTTATATTTCTCAATGTGGAATCAATTGCAAATTTTATTAATATAATACTTATAAATGATCGGGGAAGATAAAACCAAAACTTTAAATGAAAGTTTTCCCAACTTGATGTCTTTTTTCCCAAAATATTTTTAAATGAAGAACACTTTATTTTGATAACTCCATTAGTTTGGAATTCACATCTACAGTCCTAATTTTGGCATATGTTATAAATCTGTAACTGGCCTCACTAAAGAAATACTAACAACAAAATTGTGAAATAAGGTAACTTCTTCCTAGCGATCTTGACAATGGAATTTTTATTAGTATTTAGATAATGACAGAAGTTTACCAAAATCATAAAGTAGCTATTTTATAAAATAGCTTTTATATCCCCACTTTATTTTCCTCATACAGATTTTTATGCTGATGTGAAAAGACAAATAGGTACTTAAAGCCCACAGGCTGTGCTTTTACTTGTGCAAACGTCCACTTAGCTAAAGAGAAACTTTTACCATACAGAAAATGATACAAGCAATCAGAAGGAATTCAGGACAAGAGCTTCAGGCTCTACACTAGGAAAAAAATAACATTTCGTTTTTATACTCTTCATCTAGAAAATATTCTTTCCTAGACTGTCAGTGCCTCCATTTTTGTATCCTTTCTTAACTCTAATTTTCTACCTGTTTGCAGAGCTTGGGGGAGGAGGAAGAATTCAGGCCCAGAGTTTACTTGTCGTATGATCTGCCAATATGGACAGAAAATTTTGTTTGCTTGTACAACTTCAGTATGAGCTGGGGCCTTCAAACTCCTGAAATACATGTAAACTCGTTCAGATGTTGTATTTCACACCATGGAGAATTCTGAAGCTCAGTGCTGTTCCTCCATCGCCTCAAGAGTCTATAAATCCACAACCATTCTTACTCTGTTTTTTATAGCTTTTCTTTCATTTTCTATTCCAGCCTCTTTCTCTGTTTCCATAAATAAATTAGACTCATTTGTAATGGCCTAATTTGGGGAAGATTATACATGATTATATGAGATTATACAATCTACATTTGGTTACATTTTATGCTTTTCATAATTTTAAAGAAATACACGAATTGCTCATATAATGTCAAGTATGGAACTGTTGGGGAGATGGATAAGGTAGAGAAAAGATTACAAAACCAACGTCTGAACTTTGCCTATCAAAAACCCTATTGTTTGAAAGTCCCTTTAGCCCCATCTGCCCCAGTAGCTAGTGGCTTCTCAGTGGTACTCATGTTTCTTACTTTTATTCATCTAATTCTGATTTGTTGTGCTTGACCCACCCTGCTGACACTGGGGCTTTAGATTACTTGCTATCTATTTATGAAGGGTATTTGTCCCTTTAACTGTTCCCAGAATGCTTGGCTGAGGAATCAGTCTTCACTTTAATAGGGTATATTTTTCTCAGGGACACTTGTGGACACAAGCAAAACTTATTCTGTTATATTTTAGCCAGCAAAAACTTATTCTGTTATATTTTAGCAGGTCTCCCTTAATATTTTGTTACTATAAGATATAGAGAACAGTCATTTCCAGATCATTCATTTGAAAATAGCACTACCAATTAAAGTTTTGTTTAGGAGCATCTTTTTATATAACCCGAAGCTCTTATTTTTTAAAAAGAATTTGAGAACAGTCTCGATGTTACATTAGACTATTTTCTTTATGCATAAAGACAGCTGTCATTGCAACTGACAATCTTTAAATGTCCAGATTCTCAAAGACCTTCTTGACCTGCTCACTGTCAATAACTATTCTGACATGTTTTGATAGCTCCTTAAATCTTATGTTTCTTATTATCATTCTTTTTTCTAAGTCAGGATTTTAAATTGATCCAAGATTCCCTAAAGCACCAAACACTAACCATTAATTCATTTTAACTTTTCACTTGGTGTGTTTACTGTCACATAGCACTACAGCTACCAGGATTTATCAGTAAAAACTACATCTACTCTCAAACTCCTTGTGTGACCATTAACTGATATTTTTTGCTACCTTTATCTTTGTACCTAAATCTCAACTGATCCACAAATTTTTCTTCAACTCTTTATCTCACAGCAACATTAGATATGCATCACTGGCTGCATTTTTCTTTGTCATAAAATTGTAATTTATTGAACCATAATAACAGTGTCCTCTAAAACAGTTACTCCCCTGTCAATTCTCACCAATTTACATATTCTCCCATTTACATAAATTTGATTTCTAGTTACTTCATGTATGATCAAATTCTAATTCATTATCCTGGTATAGTCAAAATCAGAACCATAAATCCTTATATAGCTGTCATTTTTAAAACTAAAGATGCTCCTAGAAGTGTCCCTGACTCCCCAAATCTAAGTACTCACTGTATGCACAACTATAATACCAAATATGCTTCCTATTATAGTACATATCACATTCTATTGCCCTACTGATCTGTCTCTGATATTACTATTTAATGTTATGAGGACAAAAACCACATTTTCTAATGAATCTCTAGTGAATCACTATGCATGGCCTACAATGAGATGCCTAATACGTATTTGATAATGCTTTTAACACCTTGCACTGAGGCTATAAAATTCACCTCAAAAAGAATCTCAAAAGATATAATTGTAGAACGTATTATACTTTCTTAGAAAAGTCACTCGCCTCTAAAGCCTCTAAAGTAAATTTCGATGCATGAATGATGAGTGGGGATATATTATTGAAACCCAGAAGGGAGAACCAAGTACAGGCAAGTTTTAGTGTGTGAATGTATTGCTATTTTAAGGTTTATTTTCTTGTTTATGAGCTAGTTCAAAGCTCAAAGCACATTTTCCACTAGAAAAAGTAAATGTAAATTTTTATCTAGCTTTCCCAATCTTTTATGATGCAACGGAAGTACTGCTTCATTGTCAGTGAACAATGATAACAACATTGGAAAGCAGCTTTCTCTTATGAAGCTCACACGCACCAGGTCCTGTGCTGTACCTTCTCATATCATTCTTCTAGCAAAACCATGATATAGGTGGAACTGTTTCCAGAGCATAGGAAAAACAATTCATGTTAAGAAGGCCTAGTAGTTTGCCCAAATATATCCAGGCAGGGATGTGTAGGAGACTGGTTTAGCATTGCTTTGCTTTGTTTTAAAGGAAATTATTTTGAATCCAAATTTACATGACTACAAAATCACTGCTATTTCCATTATGCAAAACAATCATATTATAATACCAATAATTATGCAAATGCATAAAAACAGTGAAAATGAATAAACTCCGTTTAAACATGTCTTAATTGCTTTTATTTAACTGTTATACCGCCAAGTAGACATATATTGGACTACTACTAGAGAGACAAACATAGGAGTAACAGTGAAAGATCTTTCAAGTGTTCATCAAAATACTAACTGGTTAATTAATGAAATTTCCACCTTAAGTAGCCATATGCTGTGTCCAAATTGCCAAAATTTAGTAATGGTCTTAGTTTTCTATTATGTCAGCTCAGGAAAATATGGTGTCCTTATTTACACTTTTCTTGTGCATACATGTTGTCACACATGTATCTATGAAAGTACCATGGTCAGACATCAAGGAAGCCTTAACTTTACCATCCAGTGTTGTGCACATACAAGCTTACCAAAAAGCAAACCGTTATCAGAAAAAAAAAATCAAATTTTAACTTCTAAACCATTTGCAGTAGTAAAACTTATTTGTATGCTGAAGAAATTTTCTCTCAACTCTCTTCAACAATTTGAAAATGAGAGCTTCCAAATCTTCCCTCAAGATACTATTTATTAATCTCAGTAACCAGGCATAAAAGATGGGAATGATCTGTTTCCATGCTACCTCCTTCTCTAAAGTCATTTCTCACTGTTCCCATACATCTACTCTCCATTCTGTACCCTAACACCCTGATGTCTTATCAGCTAGATATATTTTCTAATCCTGTTATCTGTCCGGAATTTTTCTCTAATTGGTAAACTATAATATTTGCTAAATATTTAACAGGGTTACCAATTCCTATGGAAAAATGTTCCCTACAGTCCCAGACAGAACTGAACTAATCTGCACTTTCACAGCTAATGCATGAATTACTTCATTACTACCTAAGCAGTAAGCTCTTTGTCCTTAACTCAGAATGTGATCTATACTGTGCTACATAGTCAGGAAACATTTGTAATTCTCAATCAACTATCAGATGTTTAAACTTCTGTTATTACTGACAGGTTTTTTATAGGCAAGAGGGTCACAGCAACAGCCAAGTTATTGAAACACAGAAACCTCAAGCAGTAGTACCACTCCCTGATGCTGGAGTCTATATTATTGAAATCCGAGCATACAGTGAAGGAGGGGATGGAACAGCTAGTTCCCAAATCAGGGTACCATCATATTCAGGTAAGTTTCAACATAAGAGGCTTAGTCTGATGGCCACCACAACGAAAGATGATGAAAAATTCATAAAAATTGAATGATGGATTGTATAGTTCGGTGATTTTTGAGAATTTTCTGGTTGAACTTTCATTTGTGTATAATCCTCCAATTAGTATGAACCATAGCAATTTTCTCACAATTGTATAATTTCCCTAAATTTAGAAAGTAATTTATTCTTTCATTAAAGTGCAGGGGATATAGATCAGTGGCATAGCGCCTGCTTGGCAAGCACAAGGTCCTGGAGTTCAATTCCCAGTACCAAATATATATATATATATATATATATATATATATATATATATATAATTTTTAAAAAGATATATTTTCATTTGAATATGCTTAAATATAAAATTTCCTTACCTGAACAATTACCTTACTGGCTATGTGGATTTTGGAAAACCGTATAGCTCTTTTTTATGAAAACAGTATTGCTTTTAAGCTGATATTGCACTAGTTCAAAATACTTACTTTTCTATTATATTGATTACTATTATTGATAGGTAATGGTTAGTTTAAAAAGATGCTTTTGAGACTGAAATTTACTTACTGATTCTAAACCAACTTCCTTGATCATTGTTGTAGCTTTCTTGACTTTATTTAGCCTTTGCTATCTATCAGGTACAATCAAAAGAACTTCCCCTAAATTTTACTTACTAATAATCACATAGGTAGATGGAATTGTTTTTATACAGAAGATTTAAATAACTTGCCTAATATCATGCTATTGCAAGTTGGCAGAACCAGGATTCCAACCTAGACACATATACATATAATACCGTGTCCATTATACAAGAAAGGAAAAACTGGGTTAAAGAAAGATTTAATGAATTTCAAAACAAGTAACTATTTTGTCAAGATAGTAAAAAAAATGAAGCAGATGTTTAATTATATATACTAAAACCTCGTTAAGTTTTAGAAAATTTTCATTAAAATATTCTGTACAATTCTAGTGTTCATTTAATTGAGTAATTATGAGCATTGTTTTTTGGACAATCATTCTGAAGTAGAATTATCCACCTGAAGAGAAGTCTCCAATAATATCTTGTAAGCCTCTGTATATGATCACATCTTATTTAACACATTTGTCAACTTGAGATAAGACCAGAAGCATTGTTCATGATATTTTTTGATGCTACAAAATGAGATGAATAACAAATATAATAGAGAAAACAATAATGCCAGACTTTGAGGAAAAGCTATTGACATAATATTTCATAAACAATAAAATCTGAAAACACAAAATGAGTTAAATGATGAGACAATTGAAAATTTGACTATCACTATATTTGATGATTATATCAACATTCATTTCCTGTGTTTTCAAACTGTATTGTGATTATCTAAGTAAATGCCCTATGTTTAGAGCTTAAATACATTGAAATATTTGGGGAAAAGAGTATCTGTAATATTTCAAAGTGCTGAGAAAAAATATATGTATTGAGAAAATAACTGAGTGATGTGATGATACATCAACAGTGAAGCAATCTAGATGAATTCTTTGTTTTATTCTTATAATTTTTCAGGAATCTAAAGTTATTTCAAGATGAACAGTGAAAAATAAAAAATGAAAACTCCATCTTTTCCAAAATTCAGACAAAGAGACCTGAGAATTTTTTAAATTATTTTTTTCAATTTTTATTTTTACTAGTACATGTATTTTTACAATACATTTGATCACATTCAGTCATGTACTTTATGTACAAGTAACATACTTTATGCTTCCTTTTAACAGTGTAGTTTCAGGAGCAAGAATGGTAATAACAGATAGAAGTATTTTGTCTAAGGAACAGTTGGTTAAAATTTTTCCCACTCTGTGGATTGTCTCTTCATTCTGTGGATGATTTCTTTTGATGTACAAAACCATTTTAATAAGATGAGATCCCAGTTGTTGACATACTCATGCAGTTTGGCTTTTGTGCATGAATTCTCTGCCTACTCCTATGTCTTCAAGATTTCTACCTACCATCTGAGTAACTATTTTGAAGATAACAATATGCAATATATTAACCATTGTTGATCTATTATTTTATTTTGTAATTCTCTACCATCAATTTTTTATTTTAAAATTTTTTAAAAATGGTAATAATGTCTCTTTGCATTGATTAATTCACAAATAAACCCTTCAGATAAGGCTGCTGAATTTTCAAGAGCACCTTGAAAGACCAAAGTTTTATTCTGAAAAGTGAAAAATTCAGTGACTTCCATCTTGCCTCATAATTGTCAAATTTCTAGTAACAATGCAAAGAGCATTTACAGATCCCTCATCATATTCCCAGGATTATGCTGTGTGTTTTTCCACATATTATTTTATCCTTCTAGAAATCTCAAATAAGAATTTTATTCTTACTGTGTGCTCTAGAAGGTTCCTGTTCACACTAACACAATCAGATTCTACAGCATCTTCTCAATAAAACCAGTGCCAAATTGGGAAGTAACCATATGAACCTGGATTCTTCCATTAATATTTTGATTACCTTGTTTAACTTTAATGTTTTAAATAAGTTAACTTTAACCTGTACTGTGAAAAATTTGACATAACATCATATCCAGAGTTACCTTTTCCCGAGTTTCAAGGAAATAAAATCTTACAATGTTACCTCCTTTAGACCCATAAATCTGAGAATGATTAGATTTTTCAAAACCCAAATGCCAAATAAATAGAATGACTTTTCCAAGTGAAATAGATAGATAGTTTTATGTCCAGGTCTAAAACTGAATCTAATACATTATTTTGTGTTTGATTTGTTGGGGTTTGATTGTTTTTGTTTGCTAAACTAACATATTTTAGCTCATGGATTTTATACAGAATATTTTATATAGACTTTATTAACATTCTGAACATTAGATTTCTTCTGTTATGAATGTTTAAAAAGAACATAGCCACTTTAAAATATTGTATATAAAAAGAATACTTGTACATTTTTATTTATTTAGCATTATGAACACTCCAATAAGACTTTGTCATCTTGCTTTTTTATAACTCATATGTGGCTATGCACTTTACAATAGACTTGTTTTGTATAAAGTGAAATATATTTAAAAGATTTATTATTTCACTGATTATACAAATTTGTAAAAAAAAAATATTTGCTATGTGTGCGTGGTGGGGGGTGTTGCCGTTGCTATTTACCAAAGAAATAACTGTAGCTTTTATGCACACATCTGGAGAATAAATTTAGTCTCTACCTTTGTCACAAAAATCAACCTCAGGATCCCATTACACTAAATCTAACCAGGAAACACAACTCGGCAGCAGACTCCAGAAAGTGAACAATAAATTTTATCTTTGTTCTTAAGTTTATAACCAAAGTCACTCAGTGTTTTAAGAGCATCAGGACCTACTATTATATAGTTTCAGTACCTTAAGCAACTTCCACAATGTATTTAAGTACAAGTTTTTTCATGTGTAACAAGAGGATAATAATAGTATTTAACATATAGGAATGTTTGTGTGTCAAATAAAATAATATGTATAAAAGGTTTGAGATAGTGCTTGGCATATAGTGAGCATTCATTAAATGTCAGTTATATTAATACTTTAGAAGACTTCTGAAGAATCATTCCTGAAGTTATTATCTAAGAATTGTTCTTAATGTGTGGTCCTGAGAAACTATCAAAAGTTCTTCAAACTGATCAGTTCAGATCTGCCATGTAATCAAATTAACTGCATTATGTTTGGATCTCAAGAAAGAACTGCTCTTGGGTATAAGAAAATAGGATAAAACATTATCCTGCTTCACTGAGTTTAGCGATGAGAATCTAGAATTTAAGCCTACTCAAGTAAAATAATCAAAGACCCATAAAGAAAGAAAATACCATTATTAAATTTATAAATTAATGAAGTAATTAAATTGTGAATTCAACTTGTCTCACATTTTTACTATTTGTTTTTACTCAATCCTCTAAACTATGCACTATTCATTTTTCATACCCGAAAGTTGGGAAGACTTCTATCAGTGCATTATTGACAAAAACTGCACTAAATCTCTTGGTTAGATGTGTTTGTTGACATGAATTACCACTGTCAACACAGTATTTCATTTATACTCTGTCCTGCTTATAATTTGGGGAATCATAGACAATGTTTCTTTTCATAAGTGTAAAAAACGCTCCAATAAATAACAGGGCTGGTGCTGCACTCAGGTATGCTGCATTACTAAGAATGACATCCCAAATAATGGTCTCACTTGATGCGTCTCTTTTTTTCACAGGTGGGAAGATCACAAGCGCTCAGTCAACCCTGCACACTCTCTCCACGTCATCATCTCTGACGTTGCTCTTGGCATTGATGATTCCTTCAACCTCCTGGTGAAACTGCTGACTTAATTTGCTTTTATTTGCTTTAGCTTAAAATCAGCAGTGAATAGAATGTAGCATAAGTGGAAGCCAGGATCCTGAGATGAGCTGGAAAAGCCCAGGAAGACACACGGTGCACTTACAGGAGTTTGGGGATAGGGGAAGTATTACTTATCCATCAGGTTTCTCTTTGATTTTTGTAAATGGAGAGGACAGTTTTTGGTCCAATAAAAATATGCAGATTGTATGTAATGAATTTTTGTAAGCAAAAGTAATTTCTGTCAAATGTATTCTTAATTTTATATAGGTTGAATTTGATTTTATATCTGATTACTGAGTGTATGCCATCCATTTATTACGAATGTGGTCTCTAGCAGATCTATTTTAAAAGCATAGTAAGAATGGAAACTTTCCTTAAGACTCTGAATACAGTGCTTTTCATTTTCCCTTCAACTGACTATTACAATTGCCAGACCTGCAGGAGATACAAAAAATACTTGGATGATGAGATCCATTATAGGATAAATACAGAAAAAATTCCCAAAACTACTATATAATTGCATAGGAAAAAATCAAGATTTGTCAATACATTATCCTATATTCACCCCTAGAGTAAGTTATTAGGGTAGAGAATAAGTCATTTTTGCTACAGAAACAGTGAACCCAAATGAATTCACTGTTTTTCATTAAGCACTATGTTATATAGCGGAAAATATGGTAAAAGTTTATTTTTAATAACAAAAAATAGCTTCAAGTCACAAGAATATATGATCACTAAAAACTGCAGACAATGACATGCTGCCACAAGTACTAATTTAAAAACGCAATGAGTATGGAACAAATATTTCCCATTTCTCTACCTACTCACCTGATATCAAAGAGATGTTGAATCAAGTCCAATGCTGTCTTCATTGAAAATTTTAAGCACAGTATAATTGTGTTGTACAACTAACTATATACACATACGGTCTGTGGATAAAAATGATTCAAAGAAAGCAACTAAGTTCTGATTTTACAGTTTCATATATCATACACCACTTATAAATTCTTATCAACTACTAAACTAAAGAGGATTTATTGGGTAAGTTGATTTTAAAATTAATCTTTGGAAGTATGACTTTAATATAAGGACTTAGCTACTGTGATCCATCGTATGCTGCTTAATTCTGTGGCTTAGGAAGTGATCCTTAGTTGTTATTTGAGGCATCAACTTGAACCTAAGTGATTCTAAGTAGTTACTGGAAAGCTAAAAAACTTTTTTCTATTTAATGATGTCACACAGAAGTTCTAGAAAACATAAGGATGTGCCATATTCAGCAACTTTATTTGCCAGAAAAGATCCAAGGACACTAGTTTCATGGGTGAAGTTCACATGGTCACAAAGAGCAGTTTCTCACCTTTTTATTTGCCTTTATATAATCCAAGCCTGTTAACTCTATTTGCATCCCAAATGACAAACAAACTGAAACAAAATTGAGTTCAATTACTGGCTCTAGAGCTTAATCTTGGTAGAATCAGAGGACAAATTAAAAATTCAAAAAATTTTATTCTGAACATCCAACAGTTTAGCTTCAGAGCTACAGTATAACTACTTGAGGACAATTACTCATTTGGTCTGGAGAAAATTATCACCAAGGCAACCCAAAACAAACAACAAGTGATTTACAAGATTAAGTGAGTCAACAGATTATTATAATCAATACTACAGATGAACATGCAAGTCATGAATAATAACAACCAAGTGGCCTTTCTAGAATGTCTCCTTTGTTGTAGAAGACACTGGGATTTGCAATTATGGGATGCTATTTAGTGATCAAAACATGAGCCATCCCAAGTATGGTGTAGTAACTTGCAAGAACAAATTGTGCAGCTAAAAAGCACAGAAGGGTATTTAATATTGGAAGTAACTTTTTCTATTTAATGAATTAAGCCATTTCTTCATTTCCCATGATACCCTAAACTAAATTTAATGGAGTATTTTAAGAATCAAGTTATTTCTAATACTCATAAAAGAAGTCCAGTTAAATGTAGTAATGTCAATATATGGCAAATTCAAATTAAACAGTAATTCCAAATAACTGATGGATGGTAAACATCTGACAGAATATTTACATATACGATGTCTGGTGTTTTATTCCGAACAGAAATCAGATGTATGGGATGTTTTTACTCAACATGCATAAAATATGTATTTTGCATCATAAATCTATTTAAAAAAACAGGTTACAATATTTATGTATTACACATTTGTTTCTTTGTAGAAGTAAATAGCATTCCTTATCCTGGTATATTATTTTTCAACTACAGTACTAACTGAACTTTTTCTTGGTTGGGATAGTAACTGAACAGTCTTAAATCACTTAAGAGACTGTATTTTTTTACAATATCAATTGAACTATGAATAAAATAACACTGCTGATAATTAAAATTTCTTGAAAACAAATGTTTTGCATATCCAGCTGAAGGTACTGTGGATTCCATGTCAAACTGTTAAATATATTGTATACAATCTGTATATATATATACTATATAAAGGTACATAACGTGGGAGGCACAGTCAGATAATAGTTCTGTGTACTGTTCTTGTAACATTAGATCTTTTTAATAAATAATTGTTTTTATTGACTTTTATCTCTTCTCCTGTCAACTAAATGAATCTTTTTTTTTTTTTTTTTTTTTTTTTTTTTTATCTTTGAGATAGGGTCTCACTATGCAGTTCAGACTGGCCTTGAACTCACTTTGTAGCCTAGGTTGGTCTCAAACTTGCAAGGATCCTCCTGCCTCAGTCTGCTGAGTGCTAGGATTACAGGCATACACCACCATGCCAGGTGAATGACTTAATTTCAAGCAAAGTAGAAAATGTTCATTAATGTGATAATGTTTTCAAAAATATCTTTTTGTTAGGACCTTGGAGGCTATAATGATTTTTAGTTCAAAAATCTCCATAAACATCCACTTATACCTACAACTTGAAAATCTGAAGCTAAGGCAAAAACAAAACAAGCAAAGAAACAAGTACAGATGAGATATATTAAGATTCACAACCGGGCTGTAATTTGTACGTCACACAATCACATGGCTTTGAACCACTGGTGGTGCATGTGTGACTCTCCCGTCAGGCAGCATGAAACAGTCCCTTTTGGTCATCCCAACTCAAGATTTTGTTTTTCTCAGAAAAGTTAATTCATTAAATCAGTTTTGCAGAGAATCTGTTAAATTCATATTTTAGTTAGGACTTGTCAATACCAATCTATCCCAGATACAGTTTTTGTAGAACATTATTCATTCTTTTTTCCCCTTTAGGAACATGTCTGTTATACTGACAATCACATGATATTACAATTATTTGATTATAAACATTTTTCTTCCACTGTCCAGACTCTGGCATCATGTAGGAGAGACTAGGTTATTTTTATCTTGGAATTTGTCTCATTAGTTCCTAATAATTAGTACACATCAAGTGAGCAATAAATTAGATTTAATTTAATGTTAGCCTTAAAATTCCCTGTACAATAAGCTTCTCAAACCTGAGTGATCATCTAAAAACTACCTGAAAATCCACTTCTCTAATTTCTGATTTAGGATGACACAAAGTAGAGAAACTTTATTGTAAAATTCTTTTCAAACAAAAGCTTGTAAAGCTCTACTAAAGGAAATTTGACACTATTTAGTAAATCCTTTGTATGAATTTACTCATTGTTCTAACAATTCTACATTCAAGGATCTATCTCTGAAACTAGCAAAAATGTAAAATTTTAAAAGAACACACAAGCTGCAAAAGAGTAGATATATGCCTTTTGTGTAAGAAGCAGGAAAACACACATACTTGATAATATTTTCAAGAAGAAATAATGGAAGAACCAACTAAAGCCTAATACAAACAGTTACTTACTGTGGAAAGAGAGAATAGGATATGAGAGTAAATATGCAAGCAAGCTGTCTTTCCATATCTTTGTTTCATAGTTTTTACTTTGGAACCATACAAAGGTTTTATTATTAATTTAAAAATTAAATCAAAAGGAAAAATCAAGCAAACTCGGAAACTGAGAATGAAAGAAAAATGGCTTGAGAGTTAAGGTTTTTCTTTGTTGAAAGTTATGAGAGCATAGAGAAGTATTTCAGGTGAGCACTGTGACAGTCCCTCCCAAATGGGACATATAGTCCAAGGCAAGCTCATACATAAAGGCGCACACTCTCTTAAGGTACACTTGTTATTCCTCTTATGAGTAATATAACTAGACACATACTTTTAAACAAGCCAAATATAAACATATAAATTTTAAATGTATTAGGAGTATATTTTAAGAGGAAAGAGCTATATAAATTTTAAGTTAATTAAATCCCTAACTTTTGATTAGAAATGTCAGTATGAATTTATAATTTACTTAATCTTTCTTTAAAACAATTTGTTTTCTAGCTTTGTTCACTGAAAAGATCTAGAAGGATAATGAACCTCTCTAATACAAAAACAATGCAAATTATGCATAATGAGCAAACTATGGTCTCCAACTCTATGTATTTGTTATATGCCGCAAACATATACTAAAAACATCAGGATTTTCATGGTGAAATGATTCAGTCTGGAAAATACAAGATGACTAAAGGACCTCTTGTTCCTAGGAAGACTACTATGGTCATGATGAAAGGATAATCTGAAGACCTCCGTCTGGCCAACAGACAACCTCAAAAATAATAATGACCATCATGGATTAAAATATGTAAGCTATCTAAAGCTCAGATAGTCATACTGTTACCTGCACACAGATTATTGCTTTTCTTTGCTTGACCCAGGAGTCGCCCTTCTAAGAATTGTCAAGAAGCAGAAAAGAATTAAGAATTTATCATGCCTTACCTGTAAGAACTATGTTTCAGGATAACCAAATAGTTGATGAAAGATAATATTACTTTTTTATAGAAAACACAATAAATCCATGCAAAGAATAAGATTTTTGTCAAAAATCAGTTTCTTGGACAATGGGTTTTAGGTATTAAACTACTAGGTAAAAGGCTGATGAAGAACATGAAGCAGACATATCAGGCTGCCACCATCTGAACCCACTGACTTTAACCTCACTGCAAGGGAGATGCATAGAAAATTGATACATGTTGACATGGTAAGATAGGACACACAAAAATAACTACTTCTTTAATATTCTTCTTCCAAAAATTATCATGATTCTGATCAAAATCCTCTCACTACTGTACTACATGAAATGCTGGGGTGGGGAGCATTTGTGTAGTATCATAAGGCAGGAATCCGGTAAATTTTTAGTGTATATTCTGCACAACAAAAACCTATTTTCTTTCACAAATAAATGCCATGCAGATGAAAAGTGGGCAATTGTTATCGATTATGATGGGCTAAAGAACAATACCTGCAAAACAGTGTGTGGAACTTCTTGGTGGTCTCGAATCAACTACAAAAAGATACCTTTGAGACTATGGGGGCAATTTTGTATGGAGGCAATTTTGAATGTAGACTGAATATTAAATGGAATAGAAGGCTAGAGGTGGTGGTGTATGCTTGTAATCCCAGCACTCAGGAGGCTGAGGCAGGTGGATTGCCACAAGTTCAAGACCAGCCTGGTGAGTTTCAAGGCCTGCGTGAACTACATAGTAAGATCTAGCTCAAACAAACAAAAAATTGAATAGAATAAACAGTAGTAGTAAGAACAGTTTTTTATTGGTATACGTTTGTGGCATATAACAAATATATTCATTTTGGGGTAGTTGGTGCATACACACAGCATATCCTAAATATTTTCATGTCCCTTTCCTTTCCCCTCCCCCTCCTCCATGCTCTCTGTATCCCTTGGTCCCCTCTCCATTTGCCAAAGTTCTACTGCCCTGTTTCCTATTATCTGTATCCTTGATCAGGTAGAGTCACATGGGAATGTATGTATAGGTAAAATAATCTCGAGTTTGCCTTAAAATGACCCTGCCAAAAAAAATTATGAAGAGACTGACACCAAGGAAGCCTTATCTTAATATTGTATGCTCTTAATAAGAGAAACTTTTGCTTTCTAAAAATATGTCATCTGGATATGTTCTATTTTTCCTAAAACTTCTAGTAATAATACTGAGTTGTATCTTTGTAAGACAGATTGTTAATGATCCATAATTATTCATTTTTATAGTCCACTACATTATATAGATCAAAATAGAATTCACCAAATAATTCATTGTTCCCACTACATAAAATCAAACTGCAGCTTTAACAAACAATTAATTATGCTTTACATTGTCATTGCCTCTTGACCTGAATGGCAAAGAACAGTAAAAGATTCACTAACTCATATGTTGTCAACTGGTGACTCAGTTGCAGTGTCACCCTCACAAATATTCAGAGACAGCCAGTTTCCCATTATGATGGTTTCAACTATTTTTTAAGCTTTAGTTAAGCCCATTTCAGCTACCTGAAAAATCGCACATTTGGCCAAACATCTGGATCTCCCTTCTATAATCTCTGTGCCACTTACATATTAACCTCTAACAGGAGCTACTAACTGCTCAAGAGAGCAGCAGGTCCCAATGGTTGAGAAATATCCCGATGTTGAACATTACCTTTGTGACAGAGACTGGCTCATCAAACTTCTTTTCTCCTCCCCTGATACAACTGATCACAAATATACCACATCTCTGCTGTTCTCGGACCACAGACAAAAACCTGTGTCCTTGCTGATTATATAAGATTAAAGTGATACATGACATCACTAATACAACCTGAAATTTATTAAGCAAAATATTTTTGCTAAAAAATGAAGTCTTTCAGATTATTCTAAGTACAAGGGGAAAAAAATTGGGGAAAATCTCCAGAAGTTAAAAAATGTATTTTTAAATTATCGACAGTTTTGTGTCAAACATCATTCTCTCCGAACTCCTTTTGTTCACCTGCATCTTAGACCTTGAGATGTATTTTACCACTGCTGCCACCCAACTGACTAAATTCTACTGCACGGGAACAAATAATAGCTTGACCTGCAGCTCTAGGCACTGCATTTTGGTAGCTGCTCTCAAAATCAGGCAAATGAAGTGAACTCTTAAGTCTTAACAACTTCTTTATTTGGTCACAGAGTTACAGTGCAAGACATAGGATTTGACTGTCCAACCAATTCCTAAAACACTGGATGACATAGAAGTGTCCAATGATAATACTTCGGTGGGTGAACATTGACCAGTGGGAAATATACAAGAAATAGAATCAGAAAAATAAATTTGCTACCTTCTTTTCTCTAAAGAATGGATTCTTCATATGCTCTATATTTAAGTGGGTCATATGGCCATCTAGATGCTTTTGTCAAAGATGTCATTGTTTAAAATACAGCAGCGGAAACTGCACACATCATGTTGCCCTGCTTCCATTCTTTCCTACCTACTTCTTTTTCTTTTAGTCATGTTATTCTGAAATTGCACCAAAATTTGTTTGCTAGGGAATCTGGACTGAAACAGTCCCTGTTATCCACTGAAGGTAACTATGGTTTCTTGGAGAAATAACCAACTTAAAGTCTGTGATCATGATTGTACAAGATAAGGGTGTGCCTCCTAGCAGTGTCAGAAAACAAGGAAGGTGAATAAATAGAAGATAGATAAATTAGATCCATCTTTAAATATTCCCTATGGCATATGAAAAT